TTCCGTTTAATGTAATTTTACCCAATACTTTTAATTTTTGAACATATAATTGACCGACTTCCCAAAAGGAGGAGGTACTCAATTCGTCTGTATGTTTTTTTTAACTAATTACATTGTTAAATACAAATAACGGACAAAATTTAACACTACGAGACTGGTGTTCAATTATTAAAAATAGGGACAATAATTTTAAACCGCTCATATAAATGTATTTTAAGAAAAAAAAATATTAATATACCAAATATTTCTGTTACGATATCATCGTGATTTATACGTTCCGTAATTAAATTTGTTCGATCCCAAACCCGCCCTAAAAAGGACACATGTTCTAATTTTAAATGTAACCAATCAAAACGCGAACTAAAAATACTTCAACCTAAATAATCATTCACGTTGATTGGAATACAAAATATATATTTTATTAAAATTTAAATACTAACCGCGTCCGATTTCGGTTAAAATTAATGAAACAGAATTTTAATGTGGTTGCATTACTTAGTATAATTCTTTTTTAATTTAATATACCTTATTGGTTTTGAATATACAAAAATTTAATTACCCGACCGACGGAGGTTCTTATTTTTAAACTTATTTAATACTTGTTGTACAAATATTACAATAAGTATGCTAAAAGTAACAAGAGCACAGAATCGGCCTTATTGCTATCAGCATTCTTTTACAGACGTATGTGGGTTTATATGTATGAAAATTTAATTGAGTCAGCCTGGAGTCTAATATCCAATGACAAATGCCATTGCTACGTATTCTATCTGCAGTGTTATTTAAACATCAAAATGTAAAAAAAAACATAATGGAATGTAAGGTAGTATTCCATCTTAATGTATGGTCACCCTATAATCATAACTGACCGTTTGAATAACGGTGCATCGTTGATCCAGTATTTTTGTACTGTTAAATGCCGCTGCATGATAAATCGATGCTTACATCTCCTAAGTCTAAGTATCGTTGTAAGCTGTAAGACAATGCTTAAATGGATAGCTGTCCTAAACAGTTACACCACGACTCTAACATATATAGATGTGGTCATAGGGTCATCATCATCAGCTCACTATACGTCTCCACCGAGGAGCTCGAAGCCTACTCGAAGTTAGGGTGACTAGGCCATAGTCAACCACGCTGGCCCAGTGCGGGTTGGTTGACATCACATGTCTTTGAATTTCTTCGCCGATATGTGCAGGTTGCATCACGATGTTTTCCTTCACCGTAAAAACGTCGGGTAAATTATGTACATATTAAAATTCGAAAAAGCGAAAATCACATTGGTACATGACGGGATTTGAACCCAAGACCTGTAGATTACAAGTGCTTAAACCACTGAGCCACCGACGCTCTAATATATAGATAGCTCATAGGATACTTATAAAAAATGGATTTTTTTAACCCTAGACAAATAAGGAAGTAACCACTCGAATTCCCCAGAGAAATTACTGATGATCATAAATATGTGCAACAAGTTAAAAGTTTGTAGTTGCGTCTACCTTTAAGTGACAGAGGACGCATTGAAATATTTTTCCTGTGTGTCCCCTCTCTTCATTATTGGTATAAAGGCTACATTACCGTACAAAGGTGGATAATTCAAGTAACATCCAAAGTGCATTTAAATCTTCGAGTTATACCTAGTCAATTAACTCTGGCAACCACGACACATGTCGACATCTGTTCGACAGCCGATGGGGCACGTTTCCGGACGCCAGTTTTTTACCCGCCAAATTAACGCTTGCGGCCATGTTCAAAAATCCATGACACGTGCTATTTCTATGTACTGCCACTTGCGTTCAGAAATGCACAACAGTTTGCCATTTTTGTATATTTCTGCGCTATTCGCGACTTCATCCGCATAAAATTTAAAAAAATAATAAACATAGCCTAAGTTATTCACTGATAACATAGTTTTTTAATGGAGAAAGAATTTTTGAAATTGGCTCAGTAGTTTTTGAGTTTAAATACATACAAAAATACAAATCTTTTTAATATTTGTATAGAAAACTATCCTATATTTTTTGGGTAATATAACCTTACTTAATCAGAACATCTTTCAATAAACTAAATTAATGTATAGCTTGTATTAAAATTTTTATCTGTTAAGTTATGATTCTTTTAACTTATTACAATTGATTATGGGCCAAGACGCTCTATTGTAATAAATTTATATTTTCATAAAATTCATTTCTAGTTAAATTAAAAATCGAACTGTTGTTAATAAAATAAACAAAATTTAACCGATTTCTTCAAGCAAATAGTTATTTTAATCATCTAAAGTACCAGGAAAGCATCAAAGTGTGTGATAAGGATGGTCAAGGTCGACTATCAAAGCTATCGAGTTGTACAAACTTATTCAATAATAGATTAACGCCACGAATTTATTTACTAAAATTATATCTTACTATGAATGCAAAATTTAGATGGATGGAGAATAAAGCGAGCGAGGTAAAATTTGGGATATGTATACATATATACTAAAATTAAATTACCTTTCTATTGGTGAATTTTTAAAATCGATCCATAGTTTTTACGTGAATCAAATACATACAAAAATACAAATCTTTCCTCTTTATAATATTAGTGATTATAAAGATGAAATATTTGTAGTTTTGTAATTATTTTATACACGCAAAAGTACTAGGCAATTTTTAAAATATTTCACCATTAGAAAGGTAATTTATCTGTGAGGAAAAAGGCTATGTTTTGTATTATTTTTTAATTTCATTTAGGCGAAGTCGCGAGCAACTGCTAGTATGTAGATTTTCTGGAAGAACATATAAAATCTTGTATAATATTTAGATTCTACAAAATTCAGCCATCAAATACACGGTTATCAAAGGAAATCTCAAGATAGCATTTTCTTAACATGTTTTTAAAGCACACTAAGGTAATGTTCTCACTAAAACATCATCGATGTCCTGTACGACTAGTGCTTATATTAGGACTCTAGTGTCTCCTCCAGAGGGTTTTATGAACTCAACCGAGACATGTTTCTAAGAAAAAATCATTCTCGCTTACTCAAGACAAATAAGATCTAGGTACAAGAGAAAACAAAAGAATTCCAGTAAGTCATAGACTTAATAAGAAAATAAATGCAGAAAAAATATTAATTTCGCATATTACCATAGTATGTTATTTTAAAATTTTAATGTTAAGTATAATCTAGCCTACATTTTAAAAAACCTGGAAGCGTTTCTATCGTTTTTATTGCATTATTTTTAGGCGAAAAATTAGTTCATATGTATGCGATATGGAGATCTTTTAATAAATTCGAATAACACAGATAACATATAAAAACTTCATTAACAATAATCAATAATGTCAAAGACATTGTCGATAGAATATCTTATTACAACTCTACGCCCACATCTTTTATTTAAAACCAATCTTTATCACATACAACCATCAATACAAGCTTTACGGCGCATTTTACGACTAAATCAATGGATACAACTTGTAAATGTAACCCTTAAAACGTCTACAAATGATAAAAAAAAAAACATTTCTAGGTTATAACATAATACTTTTCGTTCATTAATAACGGACATAACTGATTTCAGTTATTTTTAAATCATTTAATAAAACACGCTAAACACCTAACACTATAAGTTTGTTCATAATTCTGGCATATACAAATTATATCTATTGATTAAAAAAAAACATCGATTCAAATGATTTAACAACCACACTATGTTCTAAATTCAAAAAATGTCTACCTATGCGTGTTTAGAATAGATTTGACTATAACTTCATTTGCATTTAATTTCTCGACATTTTTTAATCTACCCTCTTGCTATATTTACAATTACGTAAAGATAACATCAAAAACATAATTACTATTAAAAATGGAATTTAACATTACTTAAATTCTAAAACTACTTGATTTCAATGTTGCCAGTACCTTTTATACTTTCGACACTTAAAATTCAACTCTTGTAATATTTATTAGTACGCGAATTATACAAGTTTGATATTTTAAAAACATAAAAATAATAACAAAAGAAAATCTTATATGTAATATAAAATTAATTTTTTCGGCGTTCGTTTAGAAACTAAATTAGTAGGTAACATTTAATTTTTGTAAATTATAATTTGTATTTCCTCAAATTCTTTTTATAGCTAGTGAGAATACACGAATTACTCTCATAACCTATAATTACAATTGTTTCAGTAGAATGTCTGACAAAACCTATCCATTATCCGGCGGTATATAATTAAAGACAAAGATTCGCCGCAAAGTGTAATTCATAGACAAAATTATAGTGAGCATAATTTGTTTTCAAACTAGTAATGCCATCTATCGGAATAGCTTTATCATAGTTCATTCAATTTTATAATAAAAAATACTGGCTTTTGTCCGCGAATTTAAGAGGAATTAAAAGTACACTTAGAAGTACCCTATGTCTTCTTCCAGAGAATAGTAAAGCCGTTCTAGAAATACCAACGATCTATCTAAACTTTCGCATTTATAATATAATGATGTCAAAGAGAACCGGGCTTTTTATTTTTACTGAGATTGTTAAAAATTAAAATTAAGTTTTGTAATCATTGACTCGTTTAGTGGAACTAATTGAACGAAAACATCACGTCTTTGAAGGCGAAAAAAATAATAAAAAAACGCTTAAACCCGGTCTGTTTCGTTGTAAAATCGTCTGTCTCGCCACAAAAAGTTATCAAAACGAGCCGGGGTCAAAGGCGGGTAACACCGTTGAAGTCGAGCGCCTAATTAATAGTCGCCCACTCTCACCTCGGGACTCGAACCGGACTTGTTCCCATGATGTGTCCGATGCACACAGCCACGCTGGGGCTAGGCTGGGGTCGGGCGCATCTACATTGCAAATATACAAACACCATCTACAATCAGCGATTCATATCGACGCATTACAACGCGTTGGTTTACTCGGACGCGGAACCAACGCCATGCCTATCGATTTAACTATACACCAGGGCAGTAGAAAGAATTCCTTACAACAATACGCCGGTGTAACAATAAATACCTTAATGATATCCCGAGATCGGAGAGAAAAGACGTCCGGCGACGGCAGGCGGTACCCGTCCCACTCTTTTCAAAAAGTAATCCAACACAATAACATCTCATTCACGGAACATCACTTAAAATGGCACAATCTCACATGGGCACAATATGTATGTAATCCACGGCACTGGTTTTGCTTTGGCTACAGAATGATGTTTTTCTCGTAACACGACGCGACTACGGTACTCCCGCAGAACAACCGACGCGCACGGCAGCCGGGCACGGACTGAACTGGTTTGCCGGGCGGGAGAAGGGGGTTGGGGGCGCGGGGACGTCGACGGGTGCGTTTTGGTTCGGTTTTATGAAAATATTTCGTGAGTAATGCACGTGTTATGTTGGAGTGCGTCGGCCTAGAGCGTCCTCCGATCTTTGATTGTGATGCAGCGTTGCGAATGATAAACATTAAAAAAACATATAGCTCGTAGACGAGACAGGTTGGGTCTTTGTCTTCCTACGCTTTCCATTAGATGCAAGCATGCTTAGTATCTGCGATCAGATTTACAATGTATCGACACTCAACGTCGTTATTGGATGTGACGTAAAAGCCACGGCATTCAACTGTTCTGATAAAACTTGAAATGTATTTATAATCCTAGTTAAAGTTAGTACTTCAAGTTATTAGCGGTCAGTAACCCTTGATTTGTAAGGCCGCTTGCCTTTTGTAGTAGTAAATACCTACCACACGACATTTTATTACATACTGTTTCTATAAATTATCTATTCTTTGATAATATTGGATTTTGGCTAGTTAACGCTATTTATTAGCTAAAAATTGTTTATTAACAATAATGTAGGTACATTCAGATTCCGAGTATTAATGTATTTTTTAAAAAAAGAAATGTATACTTTGAATTGAATGGTTCTGGACCTGTAACGGAACGTTATTCCGTTGGTTGCAAGTTAGAGGTTAGTTTTTGTAACAAAGACATAAATAATAAGCGGTTTAAGACAAAGTGGTGTTTAGAATTGGTGTCTTCATCTAGTGGTAAGTGTTTAAATTCTCTATTATATTTAATTCCTGTTATTTTTGAAAATACGATTAATACTTATTATTACGTAGCGAAATATTACAATTTTAAATAGTTTCTAACCTATGTTACTGTACAGTTACACTAATAAGTACATTATGTTTTATTAACTATTTAATATGTGTGTTTGTGTATGCGTACCATATTATCCAAAACAATTTAATAAACTAATTTCTTGTAAAAACTGTAAAAGGCTTCAATCGGATTACAAGCGTCTGGACGTTAATAAGCCGGCGATACACTTCGATAACGCGCAAAAGATAATTCCATAATGTATTATCCGGGATTATATTCTATGCACATGCGGCTTAAGGCTTGCTATTCACGGACCGCTACAAGCATTCGCAAATTATTTGTCCACGACTTGCAGTTCCTGACACTATTAACTGTATGTATGGTACTAGGTAGTCCTGTGTGTCCGTGTACAGAGGCTTTAAGACTTTCATGTTTTATAACGTTGTACTAAAGTCGTAATCGATAGTGAAAATCCTTAGACCAGTTTAATAACAAATCGCTTGGAAGACATAAAGGTAGGAGGATATGTTCGTAGATGTTAACTGAAAAATTAACTCTTTACTACATAGATAAAGAGTTTAACACGTTTGGGGATATTATAGTCTTCTTATTTACTTCCACAATTGTTTTCTGTACACTGTTCCAATTCTAGACCTTTCTATCAACTTTTACTTCCATAATCACTCTGCACGGTTTAAGGTTGCTGTTTACTTCAGCGTCCCATTTTTTACCATGCCTTAAGGGGGGGATACTGTACACTGTATTTAATTACAATTCACAGACTTACAGCCCCCCTTTCTGTCGGCCCTGGGCGGCTCCGCACCCTACCTTAACGCAACATGACCCCTCAACATTTTGAAGTAATGCCTATCTTAACAAATGTCATTCTCCCTCTCTTCTTACGTATATTTAAGTCAAGTTTCTGACATTTTAGGAATAGAGTCTAGTTTAATTAAATAACTACAAAATACCAATTAAAACTAGAATTCAACCGAACTCAACAAACAAAAGACAATCGTTCTAACTGCCAAACCACATATCGAATTAGAAAAGCTATTTTATTTGCGATAGCTAATACTGAGTTATATCCGTCTGATATTTTCGACCCGGATAGAATGGTAGTTTAAAAATAAAAGTTCATAGATTGGACCGCGGGAGCCGGGTGAAATCCTCCAAATGGACGGATAAAGTGCAACGGCGCGATCTATGACGTGTCCGCTATATTTTTTCCATGTACGAGATTAATCTTTAGATCGTGATGATATTTGAACAGCGTGCACACGTTTACTAAACTGTCGCACAACGTTTAGTCTGGCTTTGATTTTGTATGAGCTATGCGCACACTATTCGATTTTTAGTTGTGTAACTAAACAGTTGGGCTGTGAAACAATCAACAATCAGTTGTGCGATAATTTAATCAAAGGTGTGAGCCTGCTTTATGACGCAATAGCTCAAATATTAAAGTCTTGTACTTATATTAAAACTTAAACGTGATGATATAATGTATGAATTTAGTACTGAAGGGTTTCTTAGTAAAAGTGTTCTTTATTCTCTTTAGTTTTCGTTGAATTTAAGCAACTGTGTCTGTTGGACAGAATTTAATCGATACTAAATAGGTTAACCATTTTCACCTTAAATAGGTTATTTTATTAGACGAAAATCTTGAATTTTGATTGTTTTAATCCCTCTGTTTCATATTATAATGTACTATCTTTCGCCAGCGACTCCATCCGCGTGGAATTACAAAAAAAAACATGAGTAGCCTATGTGTTCTTCCTAACCATCCTCTACATCTATACCAAATTTCATCGAAATCCGTTCAGCAGTTTATGCTACAAACTCTAACAAACATCCATCTATACTTTCGCATTTATAATATTAGTTTGATTATATTTAATTAAATAAAGTGTTAGCAAAGTTAAAAATAGACGTACTGGTATCATTTCATCTTTGTGAATTCTGACGTCACTAGTAGCCATTAGAAAATTAATGTCTAATGTTGGTTGTTCAATATTTGTGCACACTGAAACGTTTTGGTTGTGCAAAATATTTGTTTGTATATAATGGTATATTTTATACAAAGGGGATTGATATTTCATTTGCGTAGTATAAGGCGTTAAGTTGAAAGTAACGATAAGTTAAGACGTAACAAACATATGATACCAAGGTTGGACGTAAAGAGTTTCACGTAATCAGTTCACTCAACATACAGTCAAAAAGTTTAGTATTCAAAGTTTAAAAACGAGTAACGGTAAATACTAACAATAAGTAATTCATTTGACTATTTTAAGGTACACCTACTTATATTATAAATGCGAAAGTTTGAGTTAGATGGATCTTTCTTAGAGTTTGTAGTGCAAACTGCTGAACGGATCTCTATAAAATGTAGTATAGTTATAGACTGCAGTCTGGAATAACATATAGGCTGCTCATTTTAATTTATTTATTTAACTCAAGGACGGAGTAACGGGCGAAAGCTAGTATCTAAATAATTTAGAGTATTACTTTCATATAGCATTTAAAAGGTGATACTTTAACAGTATGCCCAAAAATATACTCTTGAAATATTTAAAATACATTAGTATTCTAGTAGACTATGGAGATATCTCCGCGGCTCATAGATTTCTTGCGCGGCATTGTGTGGATGGAATTTAAAAGCAGCGCATCTAAACGTATGGGAGCCTGGTACATTTGTCAACAAACTCTTCCGGTTGGGATGCTACTCTTAATTTATAATGTAATCCTGACTGTGTAAACTAGTTTCACACGTGGACAGAACAGTAAGCCAGAACTGTAGACAGTACTGTAATGTTCGTAGAATGTGGTTTGGGTTGTTTTAGCTTTTGATATGTTATGGTAAGAAACCCGTATCTTACGAACATCATATTTGCAAAAAGCACGACAGTTTATTGTACAGTAATGCATTATCAATTGTAACTGTCAGATGTAAAAGACTATAAGTATGTTTTATTTAAAAGAGGCGAGAAAGGTGGACACATTGTTATAATATCAGTATTCGATAGTCAAGACTCACTGTAAATATCAAAAGTGTAATATTCTGTCATGTGCGTTTATTGTTTGTCTGCTCTGCACTATCTTGCTATTCTGGCTTACTGTTCCGCCTTCGTGTGAAACTCGCATAACATGTAGTGTGTGAGTTTTTGGTGGTGATGTATTATTGACAGAGCATTGGCTTGTATTTAATAGTTTGTTAAAAGCTTTGTTTTACGTTTTCTGGCTTTTTTTTCGTTACTGGTTATTGAGTATTTATTACCGCACTCAGAGTTTGTAGCTATGCTAGTAGATATTGAACACGGAAAGTATACTATTCGTTTCCTTAGCGCACACTATTCAATGTTCTCTCGTGTTGTTTTGTAAATGAGAATTATGAGAAACTAGCGACCTTCCCACCTACGCGCCACTAATGCTGTTACGAAAATGTGTTTATTAACATCGCATTAGAAACCTCTTCAATAATCAGTATTTCTCTACTATATTATACACTAGCAGTTGCTCGCGACTTCGCCCACGTAAAATTAAAAACATATCAAAAATATAGCCTATGTTGCTCCCTGATAACTTAGCTTAATGATGAAAGAATTTTTGAAATGGGCCAAGTAGTTTTTGAGTTATTTCAATATATACAAAAATACAAATCTTTCCTCTTTATAATACTAGTACAGATGTACTTTCTCTTGAATTACTCTATCTTTTAAAATCCGTTACGTAGTTTCAGTCATCTAAGCGTATATAGACAGACAGCGGGAAGCGACTTTTTATACTATCTCATAGCGTCCAATATTGGCAGCAAATGTTGGCCACATATAGGCATCTTATAGCAACGCGACAGACACGTCGCGACACCGCGGCGTCGCCTGTCTCAATGTAATCACATACATATCCGTTTAACGTCAACTAGATTAATCTCAATTAACATGTTACCCTCTTTTATATGGAAAATATATCTTTCAGTATCGTAGCGTAAAATAGTGTGTAGAATTTTTTCAAACTTAAATATAGATTAGGTTAACAATTTGTCTTTTATTTATACTCTATGAACGATATCGATTGATCTATGGTAATTAATAATTATCGATTTTTTATTATCTGTGCCAATTTACTTTTTTACGTCTTTGATTATAAGTTTAATTATTAGTGATGTTTATTTAACCAAAAGCA